GAATGTAATGACACTTATCCCTAAGATTAATGAAAAAGCTTATTCTTCTACATATATACTTGAGTCCCCTCAATTATGGCATGGTAGACTTGGTCATGTAAATTTTGACTCTTTACGTAGATTAATCAAGTTAGATCACATATCATCTTTCAAGATTAATCCACAACACAAGTGTGAAACTTGTGTAGAAGCAAAATTGACAAGGTCTTCTTTTCATTCTATTGAAAGAAGTACCCAGCCTTTGGGTTTAGTGCATAGTGATGTGTGTGACTTGAAAGTTGTACAATCACGTGGTGGCAACAAGTACTTCATCACTTTTGTTGATGATTGCACTAAATACTATTATGTGTATTTGCTTAAAAGCAAAGACGAGACTATTGATAAATTTATTCTTTTTAAGAATGAAGTTGAGAATCAATAAAGCCGGAAAATCAAGGCATTGAGAAGTGATCGTGGTGGTGAGTATGAATCCTCGTTTACCGAGACTTGTGCTCAATTTGGGATTATTCACCAAACCACAGCGCCTTATTCACCTCAGTTAAATGGTGTTGCTGAGCGAAAGAACAGGACGCTGAAAGAGATGATGAATGCAATGTTGATAAGTTCTGGGTTGCCACAGAACTTATGGGGGGAAGCAATTCTCTCCACGAATTATATTCTTAATAGAATACCACAGAAAATAGTGGACAAGACTCCATATGAGTTGTGGAAAGGTCACAAGCCTTCATATAAATACCTACGAATGTGGGGGTGTCTTGCAAAAGTGGCGGTACCTACGCCCAAACGGGTTAGGATAGGTCCGAAAACCGTGGATTGTATTTTCATTGGTTATGCACAAAATAGTAGTGCATATAGATTTCTTGTGCACAAGTCTGATATTTCAGATATACACAAGAATACTATCATGGAATCTAGAAGTGCATCTTTTTTTGAAGATGTATTTCGTGTCGTCCCCAAGATAGGGTTCCGAGTTCCATGAAAGAAATAGATGATCACGAAGACGATCACATAGATGATCACATGGATGATCAAACAGCTGATCAAATAACTGATCAAGTAGATGATCAAGCTGATGAAGTAGATGAGCCAAGAAGGAGTAAAAGGGCTAGAACCACAAAGTCTTTTGGTTCAGATTTCTTGACTTATATGTTAGAGGGAGAACCTCAAACGTTCCATGAAGCTGTGACTTCACCTGAAAATCCTTTATGGAAAGAAGCAATTAAGAGTGAGATTGACTCCATCTTACAGAACCATATTTGGGAGTTGGTTGATCTATCCCCAAGCAGTAAGGCCTTGGGGAGTAAGTGGATCTTTTCGAAGAAAGATGAAAGCGGATGGGTCAATTGACAAATATAAAGCTCGGCTAGTTATCAAAGGATACAGACAACGAGAAGGCCTGGATTACTTTGATACGTATTCACCTATGACAAGGATTACATCCATTCGCATGGTGATTGCAATAGTAGCTTTACATGGTTTAGCAATACATCAGATGGATGTAAAGACAGCTTTCTTAAATGGAGATTTAGATGAAGAAATCTACATGGAGCAACCCAAAGGGTTTTCAGCTCCAGGAAAAAGTAAGAAAGTCTGTAAGCTTGTCAAGTCATTGTATGGTTTGAAGCAAGCTCCCAAACAATGGCATGAGAAGTTTGACAATGCTATGTTGTAAAATAGGTTTCGAATCAATGAGTGTAATAAGTGCGTATATGTTAAAGACACTGACAAAGGTTATGTCATTTTGTGTCTATACGTTGATGACATACTCATTATTGGTAGCAATGATGAAATGATTAAAGCTACCCAAAAATTGTTAAACTCTAAGTTTGGCATGAAGGATATGGGCCTTGCAGATGTCATTCTGGGTGTTAAGATCACCAGAACATCTGGTGGTATTGTACTTTCTCAAGCTCATTATGTTAATAAGATACTTGAGAAATTTGGAAAGTCAAATACAAGTATGTTTAGGACACCGATAGACTTAAGTCTATATTTGACCAAGAATAATGGTGAGAGTGTCTCTCAACTAGAATATTCTCGGGTCATTGGGAGTTTGATGTATCTGATGAGTTGTACATGGCCAGATATCGCCTACGCTGTTAGTAGGCTGAGTAGATACACGGGTAATCCTAATGCTACTCATTGGAAGGGCATTATGCGGATGCTGGGGTATATCCGTTACACCCTAGATTATGGGCTGCATTATACCAGATACCCAGCGGTACTAGAAGGGTATAGTGACGTAAATTGGATATCTGATATAAAAAATTCCAAATCCACTAGTGGTTATGTGTTTACCCTCGGAGGGGCAGTTGTGTCTTGGAAATCTGCCAAGCAAACGTGTATCTCGACATCGTTGAGTTTATTGCTTTAGATAAAGCAACTGAAGAAGCTGAATGGTTTCGCCAGTTTGTTGAGGATATTCCACATTGGTCGAAACCTGTGCCAGCTATCAGTATTCATTGCAATAGCCAATCAGCGATTGGTCAGGCACAGAGTAATATGTATAATGGAAAGTCTAGACATATCCATCGTAGACATAATTCCATACGACAACTACTCTCAAATGGAGTTGTCTCTCTAGACTATGTCAAGTCTAAGGACAACATTACGAATCCGCTAACCAAAGGGTTAACTCGAGAGTTAGTAGAAAAGTCGTCAAGAGGAATGGGGTTAAGGCTTTGTGAGAGAAGAATGTAATGATTATGGGTTGGATGTGATGTTTTGTTTGTTATGGCTAAAATAGCCTTTTTTTTTGTGGCTAAAATAGCCAAAAAAAGCCTGCAAACCCACTTGCCAAACACAGGCTTAGTGATGTGGTATAATGAAATATCGTATCTAGGTCACCTATGTGAGTGCGAAGTGGGGCCGCTTCTTTAAGAATTGCCAAGGCCGAATTCTTTAAAAACACTCACAGAACCAGGCTAGTGTTCCAGGGCCATACCGGACACACCAGTGAGAACAAGAACAATGGTTGGACTAACTTCTGTGTGAGGTCTATTGTCTCGGTTTACATAAACGGCAGAACAGTTCAAGACATCACGTTCACTGGTCAGCCAGTAAATCCGATAGGCTTTCACTACGAAAGGTTAAAGGCCAACAGCTACCTTTTCTGATGCAGGGTTAGTCTATGTGCTCTCTCTCTCTTTCCGAGTCTTTGTTGATAAACGTTGAGCCTTTGCTGTATTCGGTCAATTTTTATTCATGTAGGGGATTGTTGGAGAAAAATGGTTGAATAAGAAATTGTCTCATAAATGTGTATATAACTCACACATTTAAGGCTCATCAGTTTTACAAAATTGATTGGGCAGTTTTGCTAGCATTAGTTGCCAGCCTTGATGGCTAGAGGCTCCTCCCCTCTCCCCCATGGTGTATAAAAGGAGGCCCTATTCCTTGAAAAGATATATAGAATTTTTCCTTGACATCCATACACTGTCAGTCTACTTCTCCTATAATTTTCTTCCTGAGAGAGAGTGCTGCTGTTGTCCGTTCGCTAAGCTAATCAGAAGGTGCTTCTGTTGTAGCTGGTAAAAACCGTCGTATCCTAGAAAGTAGATGCCGGCATACCTCCAGCACCCAACGGTGAGGTGGCGAATCTATTTTAAGGAGACTGTGGTATCACACAGGCTTCGGTTTGCTTCCTTTAACCATTTTATATTTTATCTGTATTTTATTCAGCATTTTATTTTTCCTGGAATTGAATGTTTGTTTTGTTCATCTCATAATTTTGCGATATGCAATGTGAAATTATGTAATGTGAGTAGTTTTTCCCAACAAATCGAGCTGCCCAGTCAGCTCACTGGGTCTAAGGGGCAGTGCCCCATTATAGGTCCGGGGCAGCAGCCCCAAGCGGGGTTGAGAGGCAACGCCCCCGAAGCAAAAAACAAAACAAAAACGATATATCAGCATTGTGGATTTAACATTGGGTAAGACAATTCCGAGGTGAAGACAGTGGTGGAAGATGCACATTGGGGTCAGTTCAATTCAGGCGTGAATTTGCTAGATAATGAGGATGCACGTGTAATTTATTTTTGTCTTCTTAATGGATTGTTTTGTAACTTTAGCCTGTGATTTTTTTTTATCATAATTGGAGGCGCTCCAATTGTAGTTTTTTCACATTAAATCGTTATGTCAATTTGTCTTTAATTGTTTGATTGGGATTGTTATTCATTCACTACGTCAAAGTTGGTCTTTAACAACGGTTTCAAAAATGGTGGAAAAAAATAGCCATTAAAGATCTTTATTATTGGCGGTAAATAAAGTGCCGTTAAAAAGTTATTACTAACGGTGCTTATAAAAAAAGGGCTAATAAAGGGTGTGTAATGACGACCAAAAAAAGCATATTATGGACAATGATGCTGAAGGGTCATTCTTTTAAGGCTGTTGTTTGAAGACTGTCGTAAAAAACTTTCGTGTTTTTCTAACACTATGTTTGGATTGAGTGATTTAGAGAAAAAATAAAAGAAATGGAGAGATATGTATTTCTCTTACTTGTTTGGATAACTTAAGTAGAGAGAAATAGGAAGAAATAGAGAGAAACAGAGATAAACTTATTTCTTTTATAATCTTCATTTTCAATCTTTTCAAAAATGGAGAGATAGAGATAGAAAAGAAACCAACCGATTCTTATATTTTTATAATATCAAATTTTCTCTGTAAAAATAAAAGAAATAAAATGATTGACACTCATGTCTTTAATGGCTTTTCGTATAAAAATGTTATTTTGGTAATAAAACATAAAATAATTTTTTTTTCTCTTGTGAAATCTAACCAAATAAGAAGGAGAGAAATCATAATCATTTATTTTATTTTATTTTCTCTTATAACTTAAATAATCAAAAAAAAAAAAAAATTTCTTCCAAAGTTCCCAAACATAGCGTAATTCATGCTCCCAAAAAATTGGGTCCCTCCAATTAATTTGTCAGACGACATCGTTGTCCCTTCTATTACCTATTTTTCCTAATTGATTAGTTTTTCCCTTATATCTCTAAGTTCTGAAAGAGGCTTAGTCAACGAAGAGTCACGAGTGAAGCTTCAGCATCGGAGGTCGTTCGAAGTACCATTGTCGCACTGCAGCACCATCGTCGGAGGTAAGAGTCCTTTGCCTACCTTCTGATTCCCCTATTAGCTTCATTTTTTTCACTCTTTGTTGTTGTTGCCTCCATTAGTTTCTTTTTCCATGTTTTCCCCTTTCCTTCTCTTTATATTGCCATTCCTTCTACCTTTTTTGATGGTGTTTCTACTAGGCCATGAGTGATTAGAGAAAGGGTAATGTCATTTTAGGGTTTGTTTCAATGAAAGCAAGAATCAACTATACATTTTTAAAATCTCCCTCTTATTATTACTTTATACATACATACATACATATATATATATATATATATTGGTTGACAAAGATGAAAGAAGCGAAAATAGACAAACCCAGAAATAAAAATAGAGATTTTTAGAGAGATTTTTGTAGGTCTCTTTTCACTAAAGAAGAGAGAAAAGAGACACACACAAAAAAAAAAAATAGAGTTTTTTAGAGAGATTTTTGTGGGTCTCTTTTCACTAAAGAAATTTTACAGAGTTTTGATGAGCAAAAAAATGCTTTACCTCGTATTATTAATTATTGAAATTCATATATGTTGTGCTTTTGTATGTTTAAATTGTGAATTTTAGTGGCGCTCACCCCCTGTTTGATAAAATGTCTATTATGCCTTGTACTTGTTAAACCTGTAATCTGAGTAGGAGGGTAATGGTGTGTTTGGTTTTAAGGGTTTGTTTGGGCTAATGGATCATATATTTTGTCATTTGCATGTATTCTTTTCTGAATTCCGAGCAACATCTTGATTAATTCATTTCCTTCATTTTAATCATGTCTTTCTACAAATTTTAAAATTTATTAATCTCTGGTGAAAAGATGATCTTCTAGGCTCTTATTGGGCACGTATTCATATATCAATAGACATTGTATCCCTCTTTTCCCATCCACAGAACAGTATCCTAGAAGTTTTAGAAGCTTAGGGTGATCGAGAACACCGAGAAATTGAGCTTCAGCGAGCCATTGTTTATACCGTACGTGAGAAAAATGAAACAAGAGAGAATGAGAGAGTAAATCACTTTATATTTTTTAAAATCACAAATGGGCAGTTCATGCAAATGGCATAGTCCTCTGCATGTAAGACACTAGGCTCTTATTGGGCACGTATTCATATATCAATAGACATTGTATCCCTCTTTTCCCATCCACAGAACAGTATCCTAGAAGTTTTAGAAGCTTAGGGTGATCGAGAACACCGAGAAATTGAACTTCAGCAAGCCATTGTTTATACCGTACGTGAGAAAAATGAGACAAGAGAGAATGAGGGAGTAAATCACTTTATATTTTTTAAAATCACAAATGGGCAGTTCATGCAAATGGCATAGTCCTCTGCATGTAAGACATCGCCCATGACTGCGCCCACCAACTGACCATATCTGACCAAAGCTTCCAAACCAATTGACAAAATAATAATACATGATCCACTGATTCTCCCTCTGTTTTGCAGAACAAACACTAAGTGTTGACATTGGCATCTAACACCCCAATCCTTTGCAAGAACACTGAGATTTTAACTATTCCTTTCAAAGCTAGCCAACTAAAGAATTGCATTTTTGGGGCTGCTGTGCTTTCCATGTGAAACCTCTATCTCGATTGAGTTATCGCCGCTTACACACACATTTTGAAAGTAAAATATGCTGGTTTACAATATTATGTTACTAAAAGTGGACATTGATTAAGAGTACAAGCATGGTCTCGTTGAAAATTTTATAAATGGTTCAATGGAATTATTTTTGGTTGGATATATCATGTGGTCTCTCTAGCTGGGGAAAAACATTCATCATTGAGGGATGATTCATTTCCCATGCCCAATGTAGACCATGTTGCTGGTTATCCAAATTTCTCATTATTTAGGTGCGTGTATGGCTTGCTGAAAATTTCATTAAAGTTGAGCTGTTGTGTAGAGTCTTCCATCATTTGTGTCTGCCTTTTTCTATTTTCTATTTATTCTTCATTCATCATTTGTACTTTAGGATTGTGTATGTCAAGAATTAGTGTTAACTTTTTTTTTTTCTTTAAAAAAATAAAATTAAAAATTAAGTGCAAAGCAATAACTCTAGTAGCATGAATATTTTGTTGTTGCATCTCCTCTATCTTCATTGCTACTTGTGCCTGTATATCATGGTGAAGAACAAGATATTGACCTCAGGAAGTCTGAAACAGACAAGATTGGATATCCTATTTTGATAAAGCCAACTCATAGAGGTGGAGGGAAGGTGTGACGATTGTTGAGTTCCCTCCGAACATTTTTCTGATACTCTCTTGAATATGGGAGGCCATCAAGTAATATGCCGTATGCACTGTAGATTAGAACAAGCCTAGGTATGACAAAGCAGTAGTAGTATATAAACTATGGGAAAATAGAACAGAAAAAACAATTGTAAGGGTTTACTGCAGTCTATAGTAATTTTTTTTTCTCTTTTACAGTCAGCTCCTCTTTGATGCTTGTTTACTAGCTTCAATTAAGTTACACCTACCCTATCAAAGTAAACATTTCATGCAATATTTGTATATTCACGTTTCTTCCATTCTTTATTAATATTATTGTTAGGTTTTTATTCTTGGCAATCCCGTTTGACAAAACTCCTTTCAGTTGTATTTGTTTTCGCACTTTTATTTTAATGAGGTTATGAGTTTATTAGATGCGAATTCAACCCGAATCGTGCCTTGCAGAGAAGTTTGTGGTGTTTAATTCTTTCAAGATTGCCACTTCGCTAATTATGACGGGGATCGAGCTGCCCGGCCAGCTCGCGGGGGTCCGGGGGACAGCGTCCCTTGGCGGGTCAGGGGCAGCGCCCAGGCGGGGTCGAGGGGCAGCGCCCCCGAAGCAAAATGCAAAAATGCATTCCAAGTTGCCTGTACGCTCGAGCGAACATTCCCCCGCTCGAGCGGAGAATGCTGAGTTCTAGAAGTTTATTCGCCTGCAAAAATACTGGATGTTGTTTTTTCCCGCTCGAGCAGAACTTTCCGCGCTCGAGCGTAGGTCCGCTCGAGCGGCCAATCTGACGCTCGAGCAGAGATCGCGGGACAGATTTTTATAAATACGTGTTTCAGTCTAAATCTAGGATTACGCCTCCAGATCTTCTTCTTGGGTTCTAGGGTTTATATCTGGGGCTATTTTGTTAGTTTTCTTTGATGTTTCATTGAGTATTCAACTCATGGTTTAAGAAGCATACATCAAAGGTTTGTTTGTTTATTCTACACAAAAGAGAGAGTTGTTCTTCAGTAGATTCTGGGGAATTCGAACCTGAAGTTGTGGTGGATTCTAGAGTGGCTCATCGTCAAGACAATTCCAAGGTGAAGACGGGGTTGGAAGAGGCACATAGGGGTTGGTTTAATTCGGGCGTGAATTCGCTAAGTAATTGAGAGTATACCTGTGTAATTCATTTATATCTTCTTAGTGGATTTTTTTGTGGCTGTTGCCCATGGTTTTTTTATCACAATTGGAGGTGCTCCAATTGTGATTTTTTCACGTTAAAATCGTTGTGTTGATTTGTCTTGATTGTTTGATTGGGATTGTTATATACTGCTTAAAATTGATACATAATCACAAATCAATATCTAGGGGATTTCTAGATTTTCCAATCATATAGTGCAACTTTTGTTCAAACCTCTAACAACATGCTTAGCAAAGATCATAATAGGAGTGCCCTTGTTATATGGACATCAGTTATGTTTGAGATGAAATTCTCAAGGTATGTGTCATTCTCAGGGTATGATGATTGTGCAAAGTCTAAATGAATTTGTTGACTCATTCTTGGGGGCACAACGTGAGGCTGCTGTTTCTTTTGGCATAAATACAATCTTGCTAGAGAAATATATCACACAGCCAATACACATTGAAGTCCAGATACTCTTATTTTTACACGTCTCTTGTTTCTATTCATCCATGCTAAAGTAATGTTATCTGTCAAATTCAGCATGTCCTATATCGTACCCAGTTTCCTTAATTTTATTTATTTATTTATATTTGGGTTTAAAATCTGTAGATGATGCATTGATACTTTTATTTAATGGCATTATAAGAAACACATGTCTATAAGACTTATGTACCGATTCATTGAGTGTTCCTGAATTTGCTTAATGTTATAGGTATTTGGGGACAAACATGGCAACATCTTACATTTATACGAAAGAGACTGCAGTGTGCAGAGAAGACATCAGAAAATAATTGAAGAAGCTCCAGCTGTATGCAACTCTATCTATATTTTAAGTTTAGGTTTCATGTTGTAGATGCCTATAGTTTTGACAGAAACACTGTTTTTGCAGCCCAATGTCCTGAATGACATTCACTCTCATGTGGGTCATGCTGCTGTATGTGCGGCCAAGGTCTGAATGAGCATTCTTGTCAAGGCATTCAGTATTTTATTGTCTCATCTCTCATATTTATGAACTTGATATATCTTAATTTTTATGAAAATGATGATTGTTCTCCAGAATTTAAGACATTGTCTTCAAACTATGTGTGAAAATTTTAGATGCTAAATTGCTATGCTGTTGATCTAATTGTCATGCTTATGCCACAAATTTCATAGTTTCATTTGAACTTTGCCCTCGAGTGTTGTTATAGTTGATGGACAACGATTGGGGCCAGAATAATGGAAAGTTCATATTACGAAGGCGATAAAGCCTCATCAAAATTTGGTGAAAGGTCATCAAGGTGTCAAAACAATTGGAGATGCACTTCACAAATGTGTAGCTTGGCCTTCAGTTGATGTAATGCACATTCATTAATACTATATTTATTATATTTATAAATCTTAGTGGTGGTTAAATTTTTATACATGTGCAGATTGAGGATCCACTTGCAGACTATAGATTGAGGGGAGTTGGATAGACCATGTAGATAATGCCCATGCTTTTTGGAACTCTTATTTTGGCGCTTGTGTTTTTAGACAAATATTTTGGAACTAGTTGCTACATTTGCAGATACACATGCTTTTTGGGACTTTTTATTTTGGCACTTGTGTCTTGAGACAAACATTTTGGAACTAGTTGCTGTGTTTGCAGATTGAGGGAGCTAAATGGACCATGTAAATGATGCACATGCTTTTTGGGACTTTTATTTTGGCACTTGCGTTTTGAGACAAATATTTTGGAACTAATTGCTACAAGTGAAATGTATTTTGGAACTAATTGCTATGTGTTTCATGTATTTTGGAACTTTGCTACATGTGACATGTGTTTTGGAATAGATTTTGAATACTGAATATGGTGTATGGGTTTCTATGGATATAATATTGAATGTATGGAAGCTTTAATCGGTTATACACTTCTATTGAATGACTTTCATTGAGTACATTAACAGGTATTGAATATAAATGTATAAACAAAATCAGTTTAGCAAATGGTTCACAATTACTGGCGGTTTAATTTCGTCACTAATAGAAAGTCACATTTAATTTTACAATATATTTAACGGCAGTTATTTATTGTCGTCAATTGCTGACATCTTTTGCGGCGGTATTATACAACCATCTTTCCCTTGAAAAAACCGTCGTTAAAAGAACTACATTTACGACGGTTCTACAAAAAATGCTGCTAATTTCTATAGACGTCGAATTCTTTATGTGGCTGTTAATAACCACCATAGATACCGCCATTATTATTAACGGCGGTAATAGTACTGCCTTTATATTATTCCCGACACTTATATAGATGACGGTTTCCATTTTTGTCATCTTACCACTGTTAAAAGTATTTGTGACGGTTATATACCTATTAATGACGGTTTGTTACCGCCGTTAAAGGCTAACTCTGGTGTAATGATTGTTTAAAACTGAAATATAATCACAAATTAATTTTTTAAATGGGTCTAAATTCAATAATAAGTTTAAGGATTAAGCCCATCGTTGTTCTTTTTGTGAATCCAATACAAGGAGTTCTGCCATTGTGGGTGTCCACGATTTGAATGATGTGAACAGTCGTTCTTTTTATTGGGACTTTTTATTTTGGCACTTGTGTCTTGAGACAAACATTTTGGAACTAGTTGCTGTGTTTGCAGATTGAGGGAGCTAAATGGACCATGTAAATGATGCACATGCTTTTTGGGACTTTTATTTTGGCACTTGCGTTTTGAGACAAATATTTTGGAACTAATTGCTATGTGTTTCATGTATTTTGGAACTTTGCTACATGTGACATGTGTTTTGGAATAGATTTTGAATACTGAATATGGTGTATGGGTTTCTATGGATATAATATTGAATGTATGGAAGCTTTAATCGGTTATACACTTCTATTGAATGACTTTCATTGAGTACATTAACAGGTATTGAATATAAATGTATAAACATAATCAGTTTAGCAAATGGTTCACAATTACTGGAGGGTTTAATTTCGTCACTAATAGAAAGTCACATTTAATTTTACAATATATTTAACGGCAGTTATTTATTGTCGTCAATTGCTGACATCTTTTGCGGCGGTATTATACAACCATCTTTCCCTTGAAAAAACCGTCTTTAAAGGAACTACATTTACAACAGTTCTACAAAAAAATGCTGCTAATTTCTATGGACGTCGGATTCTTTATGTGGCTGTTAATAACCACCATAGATACC